TGCATATTGATTGCTGATAAAATAAAATACATTTAACGACCAACACCATGACCAATAGAATAATTAAAACTGTTTTGTCCTCGTTTTTATCCATTTAGTATGAAAATTTATTGATTGCCTATTTCATTATTAACACATAATTCTCATTCATTGTCTTTTTGCCGTTATTGGTTACACTTTTGTGGCTTTGTGGACTTGTGTTCCATAACAATAAACAAGATAATGGTCTTTGTGATGCATAGGCGAAATTAAGGGAGGCTAACTCCCCTCATAAATATTCCATGTCATACATGGCATACCGCATACAGCACACTTAACTCACAATAGTGTCATATACAAAAAAAAGACCCATTGCAGTAAATCCAACTTGGCTTAAAATCTAAAATATATTAACATGGTATAAAGAGTAAGGGTAATTTACAGGTTATTTTAAGTTTTGGTAAGAGAGCTGTAGTCCCCCCTCCCCAAATGTTTTACTCTAGTTGCGCCTATATTTTAATGTTGTCACATAACATGCCTACGCTTAAATATATTAGGAATCCTACATAATAAAAAACAACTGTTGGTTTTTATTTTTCCGTCACATTTTCGTAAATTAATTCTAATCACTCTACAAACACGAAATGTATAGTTACAAACAGAAAACCTAAAAATTATTATTTTTGAAACTGATACTTCTTTATACAGTTTATACCCGAAAGATATCTCCTCTCAACATAATAGTATATTTCATTTCCTCCTTACAGTTTTTACATTCAGTCCAAGCTTACTGGTGTTGCTGTATACTAATCTTTAACGTCCTTAAATACCAAAAACATTCAATGGTGTATTTAGATATAGAGAAACAAATATTTATTTTCCATTATTTTTTTGGCAGAGAACAGTACATGATCAGTGTTGGGCATTACCTAGATAAATTATCAGTATAAATAATTAATTATATTTTTCCTTATGTATATAATCGAAGAAATAATCGTATCTATTGTATTATCTTAGATTCATAAATGTTGTCTAATCGAATATGTCTAGATAAACACATTTTTAGTGAATATTTTTTACTTACAATAAAAATATTATTAAGAATCATTGTAGTATAACCTGTAATCACTAATAGATTGTTATAAGATAGAAAAAATTTAATTTTAATTTATTCAATAGCCAATATTATTTTTATTCCCCAATTAGTTGTAGTCAGACGTCACTACATAGTAGGTATTCAGACGCACCAAGATATAGGCTTATAATATACATTATACACTAGATACATACAGAAATTATTTACCCTGGCTCTCGGTTCAATATGTATATATAAATATATATTTCAAATATTGTTAGTTTTAGAATTTTATTCATCCGTAGTGAAGTATTCACAACATCACAAAATAAAATTCATAGAATTATAATAGTATAATACATATGCTCATCTTCTTTCTATTAACCACCACCACCACCTAACTATTGTCGTCACTCTTCTTCCTATGTCTGTTGTAACTTGTCAGTTGTCATTCATCCATCATTATATAATTATCTTAGTTTACTATTTAAATATGGACAAAATTATAATTCAATAAATCATAAAAAATAACAATTATGCGAAATGAACAAAATCGTACTGAATTACCAGAACAGATAAATGAAACGAAATGTCACTTATCTGATGGAGTTTCTTAAAATCGTGAAAGATAATGGTAAAAAATATGACAGCCCAATGTTAGTATTGTCCTAAGACGATTAGCGAACAAAAATAATCGATTAGGATTTTTTTAAGTCACATTGGAGTAAGTACCTACATTAAATAATTATTTAACCGATTAAAAACTATTATTTTTTTTATATATACTTTATATATACATACATTATATGTACATAATTACAGAAATGTAATTCAATACTTAACAAATATAATTTAAATTAAATAATATTTTAGGCTGCGTAAACCTTCAACACTTTAATGTACAATTACTTAGACTATTTTATTCTTCTCTAAAATGTGAATCAATTGTTCCAGGCCAAAGTTCAGGATCTTTTTGACTTTTTAATTTAATTAGAAAAAGATATCAATACATTATTTATGGAAACACTATTATTCACAATCAATATTAATTCTATTTTATGATTATTTAATGCATTTTCATCTAAATTGTGAAATTAAATTTCTGTTTCAAGATTTTTAACTGTAGTATTACTATCAAATAAGAATGAATTCTTACATTACTTTTGGCGTCATTTTTTAGCTTGAAAAATTTGAAAATTGTTGGATGATTTTGTTTCATTTTTTTTATATTGTTTAAATTTTTGTTTTTCTGCGCCAGAAAGATACTTTTTCGAAGACAGTGGATTTTATTAAAATATTTTAAAATTATTAAATAGTTAACTGATTTTTTTAAATAAATTTATCACACGACGGGACTGACTTAAAAAAAAAACTGAGTGTACATACATAGAAACACGGTATAATCTGTATAACAAAAAACAAAAAGATAACAAACACGATCACAGATATGATGCATATTTGTAAATAATATACTTATATGGCTATATAGCTAACAAACCTTTTCAAGTTTATTTTCCAAGCAATTAAACCTCTTATCTGAAGTTATACATTAAAACGAAGTAATAGTTGTAATAATAGTAATAATTGCGTTGTATGTACATATCTAATTAAAGAACATGGTTGTCAAAAAAATATTTCAAATTATAACTTAGTGTAATCTAATGTATCTTTAAACAAATATTGTTAAAATCTTTTTTTTTTTTATTAAATATCTATAATAATAGAAAAGCTGCAAGCTTATTATATTTTTTCGGCGGCCTCTTTTATTTGGGGCCCTGAACAATAGCCCGTTTAGCCCCGGTCCTTAATACGGTTCTGGGTACATAGTACATCCCATATTTTTTTTTCACATTGTAAGTTCATAGTTGTATATTTTGTGTAATTTTTATCTATTAATATTTATAATTAATAAATATTAAAATTTTATAATTTGCAGAATATTTTTAAGAATTTTTATATATTATATATTTTAAATTTACAAATAATAGGTAGATATGTATATAGTCAATATTTATAAAAAAAAATAAGCAAATGTGTGATTAAAATACAGTGATTTAGTTTACAGGTTATATTGTTGATCTAAGAGGTGAGTATAAAAATTTCGAAACTTGTGGTCAGAGCCGTAACTAGGGTGAGGCGAGCGAGGCATTTGCCTAGGATGCCTGAAGCTGGGGGGCGCAAAAATATTAAACAATTAACTTATTTTAAGAAATGTTATTTCTTGTTACCTTGTATAGAAATCTAATTAAAATTTTTCAGATTTTTCCGAATCGTATCATACATATTAAAAGCTGTGAGCGAGACAACCTTATAACTTAGGGGGCGCATTGCTTCAGTTCTGCCTCGAGATAAAAAGTGGCTTGGTACGGCTCTGCTTGAGGACGCGAAAAAAGCTTTATTAATGCAACAAATTGAGCTAGACATGTCAAAAGTTGCAAATCTAAATTAACAGCACAAAAAAGCAATATTTCATATTTAATCAATGGCTTTTTTATCAAGAAGCTAAAATTAAAAAATATTGGTAAGCTTCAAAGTTAAATGTTTTTTTTATTTTTTGTATCCTACATTTAATATTTTATTGATATACCTAATGCTATGTACCTATTCATAGGTAATTTAATTATAAATTGTTTATTATTTCTAATATCAATATAAATAACTAATATTAATATAAATAATATTGGAAGTAAAAAAATGACACAAGATGTACAAAATAGTGTAAAAACATACTTGATGATTACTGAGTTTTAAATATATTTAAATTGATAACAGAAATATTTAATCATTTTTTTTTTTTTAGTTTTTTTAGTGTTCGGTGTACTGCATACACTCTCAATAAGAATGATTTTATTTATGTGCTACAACGTAACTCTTAATTTTAATTTTAATTATTATTAAATATATATAAAGTATGGCCTTCTCATTTCAGAAGTATTTATTTGAAAACACATTTATTTGACTGAGAAAAATTTGGCATTTATAAATATTTTATAGACAGAATTTTTTTACTATTAACATTATATATTTACATACGTCAATGTACAATATTATTATTTTATTGTTAGTATTATAAAATGAGTCTGATTATATACCTGTAATTATAGTTTTTGTTATAGTTGTATTAATATTTAAATAAAAACATAATAATTAATTAAATATATTAACAATATATATATCTTATAGATATATATTACATATTACAATTATTGGACAAATAGTGGTAAACTATATCTAGAATTCAGTCATCTAATGGATATTCAAGTGGATACAAAATGAACTTAAAAAAAATGGCCAATTGGATATCTAGTAGATATATAATATATATATATATAACCATATCTAATAGATATCTATAAATCATATCTATTATACATCCATTAGTTGTACCTGTGTTATGAGTCTAACTGTATCCTAGAAAATAAATTTATAGTTATTTTATTATTGCTTTCGATCAAAAATGAAAATATACGTAAAATTCTTACCAAAGTATGGTCAGATGTCCTAGTGGATTTATAATACAAATTCAAAAAGGTCTGGTTAACTTGATCTAGAGATAGTATACTTCTTTTCTTTGAAGTTATATTATCAGTCTCACTAAACAGATGTTTACATAGAACACTAGTTGCACTGATTAAATATATATATATATATATATTTACTATACTACAATATAGTAATATTTAATATTTTTTTTATTATTTAATTTAATATTTAATATACAATACTAGTAGCTGTTTCCAAACAATATTTTTTTAAACAATACTGAAACTTCTGTATATAAATTTGAATTTTTTTCTACCATTTAAGTGAATCTTTGTCACATTGATGTTTTTTTAATTACAGTACAATACAATTAATCATAAATAATAGCTAAGACCTACAAATAAAATATTCATTTTGATACCTCATATCATACAATGTAAAACAATATCGATATCACATAGAATAATCCATCAATATTGTTACTTTATTTACACTAGTAAATAGAATTAATGGTTAATGATATAATAAGAAAAATAAAAATATAATGAACGTAAATTTAATAACAACAGGTACTCAGAACTCGAGAAACTATATCTTAACTAATATATAATTATAATAATACAATACATTCAACAACAAGATGTATACCACATGAAGCTCGCACTAAGCTAATTAAAATGAGTGCATTTCCAATTAATACTAACCATATACTTAATTATAATGATTATGTTAAGATATTTAACTATAAATATATTCTCAGCAAAAATGATGCAGACTAAAACGGACAATAGAATTTATAACTATTTTCAAAATGCTCAATATGCACTTTATACAATATGAACAGAAACATAAGTTTTGTGTTATATGGTTGGATTTAGATAAACGCTATCTCAACAATCATTCACCAATATATATTAATGATATTTCTTAATACTGAATTCATGCATGTAGTCCTCCTAGATATTAATTTGGCTGATACACGGCAACTATATGTAAACATAACAAAAACAAGCATACATTAATTAATAATCATAATGAAAGATATTTATTATATATTTACATTAAACATAAATTCAATGTCAGTAATATTAATAAATTTAAAATTGTCCTTATACAAAATTGCTCATTATTTGTAAATCCACTACATCAATTATATTCAATGAAACAGGTTTTGTCATTTTTGAATCAATAGTTGCATTTAAGCTGAAATTAAAAAAATAATTTATTAATTATTTTATTTTTATAAAAAGGTACATTAGAATTCTAAAATCAAATAAATTTGCAAACTTACAGTAGATTAAATCTCATGGATTGTTGTCCTTTTAATATTTGATTATTATTAATTAATTAATTAAATATATTGTTCTACTTAATGTAACAATAAAAATATTATTTATGGGTACTATTTACATGCTTAAATTAAAAGCATTCTAAGATATTCTAATTATCAATTACTAATTTAATCATTATTTATCAATTCATATATAATAAGTACCACAATTTAACTTATTACATAATGAAATAAACTTTATAATATAGAGCAGACTGATAGACTATACAATAAATCGTTATTATTATTTATATTTTAAAAAATTGTAATTTGAATTAATTTGAAAAAAATGTTGGAAAATTTTAATGAATTTAGATTTAAAAAAAAACTTATAGGTATGTTATACCAAATTTCTATATTTGGCATATGTTACAAACTATATTAAAATCTTCATGCAATAACAGGTGAAAATTGATACTCTTAGATTGCAACATATAATTTACACTTCTACAATATTATTAACTTTGTCGATTCTTTATATTTCCAACTGGTTCTGAAATAAATATTAAAGATGTAGGTATCTTCAGTGAATAATAGTATTTAGAAAATGATAAGAATTATAATATATATCATACCTAATTATAAATGGTTTTAATATTGATACATAAAATTAAATAACATTTAAATTTAAGAATATTTTACGGTCCATCAATCTACTCTGTGTTTGTTATATACTTAATACAAAGCAATTCATTAAACAAAATTAAACAAATATGTAACACATTTATTAAACAATATGTAAAAAAAAAGATAATATCTACATGATAAAAAAATAACAAAAAATAATTTTATATGATGAACTTACGTTACAGAATTGAATTTGAAAAAATATGATATAAATCAACAATATGACATGATTGTTCGGAGACAATAAAATGGTTTCAACTTACAAGTTTGTATTAAGACTTAAAGAATAAAGAAAATTAATAAAATTAAAGATAAACAATAATAAATATAAATTAATATTACTGATAAGGCTTATCTAAAATACAAATTTAGTAAAACAAAATCAAATCGCGGCAAATTTTGAAAATAGGTGTTGTTTTTTATTAATTTTATTAATTTTTAAAAAATAATTATAATTTCAGTGATGTTAATCAACTACCATTAGTAACAATAATTATTGAACTAGCTGTTTGGTACACAAACATCACATCTTTGGTAAAGACTAAATTCAAAGATTAATATCTTATAGTTAAAATGCAATATTGATTCGAAAGGTCGAAATTTAGTAGATACACTTCACCGTGGTGAAAACACCATGCATATTATTTGTCTAAAGTGATTAAAAGCAGTCCGAAATTCTAATTAAGTTCTAATAATAAAAAATAAATAAATAGACAACAGGCGTTCTGTCAGTAATTTTTAATTGTGTATGCCAACAAAAATTATCAATGATAATGTTTGATTATTATCTTTATCATGTACCACTACATCAATAGACAAATACACTTAGGTATACATTTTGTAAATGGCATAACTTTTTTATAAAGAAAATTAACTTTTTGAATTTTGTAAAAACTTAAATTAAGGAACATCCTACACGTTCTTTTTTAAAAAATAATAGAGGTTCGCTAGAAGATATGATAATTTAGTTGGGGTATTAAATTCCCAGATTCAACCCCCCTCCCACCCCATTCAAGCACTGCTTATAGTACAGCCGCAGAAAATAATGCAAATTTTCAATTTTTATAAATAATAAATATCAATTGATAATTTTTAAAAATTTAAATAATCATAATTGCATGTATCTATTTATATATTTAGTATATATATTTACAATTTTGTATAAGAATAGGTGTGTAGTCAAATGAATAATAAAGGGATACAACCGCCATGAACTTTTTTAAATATTATTATATTATGTTTTTTTGGTTATACACTTCATTTAGTACTTACCTGTGTTAATATCTTTATACTTTTACTTCATACCACATACTACAAAATATATTTAGTTTTCATGGACATTATAGTTCATGTGTAAAGCTTTAATTCCAGTCCCTTTCTCTAATAATAAAACAATTTAACCACCACTGCATGAATACATAAATCTAAGTATAATCACAGCGTAAATCGTCTGGGTGGAAATAATATATACAATTAAATTTTTATAATAGTTGAAAATATGTATTTTTTAATCCATAGAATTAATAATTAAATCAAGTGTAACAATAACGAATTAAATTTATAAATACTCATTTAATTTAACAACTATTTTTAATTTAATCAAAAAGCATTATACATTTTCTCGAGAATAGTTATACATTCCTACTTATATAAGGAATACCAAATTTTATTTAAGAATTTAATATTATTATACATTTTATGAAATATAAATTAAATTCTGAATTATACTATAATATTAAACAAAACATAATGGTATGAACCTATCTATATTTTTCACATATTCGCTACTAGTATATATTAAAAATATATAGATTAAAAATATTAAATGTATATATATATTTATTTATTTTTTTTATCAATGATAATTGGACACTAAACACTGCTCTCAATATGCTTAGGTAAAGAAGAAGATTATAAGAGGAGTGTATCATTCTATGGAAAAACAAGTTAAAATAAATTGGACACTTTTTAATGCTATTTATTTCGTTAATACATGATTGCATGCATAGATATCCTATTCCTTCACGTGCAATTAATATTTTATTTTTAAAATAGTAGACTGAGTAAAAGTGTATTGTTATGCATGTGTTCTGAGTGTCAACCCTTGATTATGGAGCACTGACCCCAACGAATAAAACTTACGTCAGTCCGATTTTTTTTTTTATTTACGATAAAATATTGCGGAATACTAGTGCTACTTCGTGAATAGGTACATGAATAAAATTTTAATACGTGATTACGGTTAATAAATTTACTTACGAGTATTTAATATGAGTGAATTAAATATATCCGTTTAATTGTGCACGGAATTTGTGAAAATATATGATGTATAAATCCATATTTTAAGCTAAAACCTCAAGCGTCTTCTGTGTTCTACTAAAAATTAAAAATTATAACAATAATAAATTAAAAATGAAGAAAAATTTAAAACAAATGAAAACGTTTAATTATATATATATGATGAAAGCAAAGAGCCATATTGTGTTAAAATAATTCTAACTTTTACAAATTTAATTTAAGATTATTTAAGAAAACGATTTTTTCAACAATTGTATCAGCATTAGTTCACATATTTTCTCGGCTAGATAGCAGTTCATATTATACTGTATAAAATACATTATATAAAATATATTGAAAACCGACAAAAACAATAGGTAATTACAGGTTTAAAAAAGGATAAAATAATAAATAACTATTACAGTTACACAGTTTCCTATCCAGAATCCCATCCGGTATGTGATAATACAATTAAATTTAAGAATGCAAATCATAAAAATAAAAATTGTATGTTTCGAATTAAACTTTAGGCTCTTGACACCGACAGACTGTTGAACACTACTAATATTACATTTTTAGTTCTTCTTATTCAGCAGTTAACAAGCTGTTAGCTTCTTTATAAAAGCTGCTATACGTAGACTCCTTGCCCACAGGTATCTCAATGTCCTTAATTCATGTTTAATATGACCTGAACATTTCAGAATTAAAATATGTACTCAAGGAGTATTTGTTTTATTAAAATAATTATATTCCCACTTTTCCAACTTATTCTCCTTTAGTGTAATTGTATAGAACTCGTTCACCGAGAAAAATTCATTTTTTGCAAGGGGGAGTGACTGAGGTAACATTATATCAGCCCTTCCCTCCCTTCAAAGCATATATTTTACAAAACTTAATATGCTGAATAAAATAAAAAATATTTTGTAAAATGTGTGTTTTGACGGGAGGGCTTGAATAATGTCACACCGGTCTCTCCTGCAAAAAACGAATTTTTCTAGATGAACAAGTTCCGTATAAATTTTGAAAATGGTTGTACAAATTCATATTAATTGCATTCTAATAATAACCTATAACAAAAATCATATATTCCTAGATTAGGAGAGGGAGCAGCGTAATGGATTTAAATTTACTAGCTATGTAAGTAGTTGATTTAATTATGACTATTGGAAATCTTTAAAAATATTATTTTTAAATAATAATAAATTTTTGTTTTTAGTGGTGAAATGTAAACATTTTTGCTATATCATACAAAAATGCTATTATTTTTTTTTAATATAAACAAAACATATATACTAATTAGGGTTTAAATTGACAAAAAAGGGCAGGACGGACTCTATTCCATATATCATTCTCAGAGTTTCTTATTGTCTTGATTGTGGAAGTGTCGATATCAGTGGTTTTGTTTAAATCTGATTTTTGATTAAAAGACTATCATATATCTATAGCAAAATGTATATAAATGAAATTTATTTTTTACATATACTTAAAGACCCGATAAATATGATATAAACTAGATATAGTTTAAAGCATGCTCCTTCAGTTACTGTTTGCCACGGGCCCCTAAAAGTGTAAATCCGGCTCTGAAAAGGCCTGTGATCTATTTCAGTCACGGTTAATCACGTAGCTATATATTTATTATACATATTTATTTCTATCCTGCTATTTTAATTAGGGCAACGTGGAATTTTCGTTTTAAAACTCTCAAATAATTAAAACGTATAAATATTTGTATCTTATAAGCAGGGCTCGGAAGTTGTAGCACTAAAAATGTTATTTTTTAGCTCTTAAATATGCTCTTAAAAACTATAAAATATGCGCTATAAATATCACGAAAAATCAAAAAAATATGCATTTAAGTTAAAAAAATTACAAATTTATTAAAAAAAAAAATTAAATGTAATTTTATAAATTGTTGGCCTCATATACGTCTAGTCCAGTCCGGTTGAATTATAAAATTAACAAAAATGTTAAATTACTTAAATATATTTGTAAAAGTGTACTTATAATTAAATTATATTATTTAGTTACTAACTATTATTACATCAAATTGTCAATGAAAACCTAAAACCTAACATAACCCTAACCTAACCTAACCCTAAATTAGCAAAACAGCAAAAATCCCGTAAATTTTCAAAAAATAGCAAAATTAAATTTTGTGTTTGATATCTGAGTAGTGTGAAACATATTTGAGTCATACTTTGGATGTTCTAGGATGAACCAAGGAAAATATGCATTTCCTAAAGCTTGCTAGCCCTGTTTATAAGCAATAATATTAATTAATATCAGCTATAACTATATATAATCAGTATATAACAATATAACCTTTATATTTTGATCTATATTAAGTGAAATCACATATATGTGTAATAACTAGGGCTGGTTTTTTAATGCCCTAAAAAACACTAAAATGCTCTAAATAATAAAGAAAATTATCAATAGATAAAGTATAACATTTTAGCATAATGTATAAACCAATGATTATTAAACCATACTATAGTATATTAACAGTAATTTTTTGGTATTGAGTTAAGCTATAATTATAATTAGAGAACAAATAAAATAAAAATTTTGGACCCCCCCCCCCATAAAAAGGGTAGGTTGTACCCAAAGGTCTTACTCGAAAGCACTCCTACGTATAATATCAGGGGTGGACTGAGGCCTAGAAAGCTCGGCATGGTTTTACAGAATAACAAACAAGCAACTTGTGTTAGATGGGAAAATTTTAGTTTGAGGCTTAAACCTAAAATGTTTGAAGGGTCTGGGTGTGTATGGCTACCTAGCCACCCTGTCAGTCAGCCTCCGTATAATATATTCGGTTAGGTACTGACAGAGCAGTGGCGTATAATTGTAATATTTTCGTTCTTCCACAATTCATATTGATCTTTCTAAATTTAAAACCCTGCTTGTACACGTACCACGATGATATTTAAACGAGTATGTATTGGTTAATATAAAAATCCGAAATATCCAGTTTCTGTATTCATTAGAAAATATCAGACAATTAATAAAAAATGAATAAGAATCATTTCGAAAAATAAAACCTATAGATACGTTAAAACTTAACTATCCAATATAGATTATCACTATACCACTTTAGAAAATGCTATTATCGGTTATAAATTCTAATAAATCTAAAAAATATAAATAAAGCTATTTCGGAAATATCGAATTAACCGAATAATGAGTTTTCCGGGTGTCTGTCATTTGCCATTGCTAAAGTAGAGTTAAACTGCAGTTTAAATATACAAGTGTATAAGACAGAATGCGTTATGTGAACGTGATTTGTATACAAGGCATATCGAAAATTCGATCTATATATGCATAAAATATTATAGGTAGTAGGTACGTATACACCATTGATATACAGTATACACCATTGATATACAGTATACACCATGGTAGTAGTATAATACGTCAATACAGAGGCCTAGCATATGTTCCCGATGAAAAACCTTCCGTAATTATTAATTCTTTATATTTTTTTGTTTTAGAGTAATTTTATAGTTGAGGACATAAATATTAAATTTGTATTTTTATCCTTCAGGCGAATTTAAAAAGTAACATTTTAATTTTTCATTCATATGAGATTACAAAATAGACATTTTATGAAACAAGTTTTTATGAACATTGCTAAGTATAACAAAATTGAAAATCCATTAATTATAGTGAAAAGTTATCGCTAATGAAATGTTTATAAAGAAGAAAAGCGTATGTGGTTCATATAATATAAATATTGGTATAAATTAGATAACTTATTCAACAACAGAAACCAAACCGTGCACCGAGTATGTGCTCTTTCTTTCCAAAAATTACATTAGCTACAGCTATGAAACTAATCATTGGATTTCCAATTGCGATACATAAAAGTCAGAACCAATTGTGTTTCATGAAATTACCGTTTTACAATTATACAGAGATGAATAATTCAAGAATGGGTTTTCCAAGCTGGTTAAGGGATAAAACAAGAACTTAACGTTACATTTTGGTCCACTACTGTAAAATTACCCTAGGAAAAAAAAGGAATTGAAAAAAAAAATTGAATATCCATCGAGAGATTTCCATCAAGAAACAATATACTCTTGGTCACTCTGTATGCAATGACTATAAATGTAGTATACACGTAAGATAATATGCAAAGCGTGTTTTTTTTTTTTTTTTTTTGTTGTATTTTGACCCTTTGTTACACGGCACGACAATACATAGGTATAACGTAATATCAGGGACGACGCATGCGTGTCGGTTTTTGTTGTGGTTGCGGTTGTCTGGCAGTGTTGTGGTCGACTGCGGCGAATCGGACCAATCGGCGAGAAATCTGTCCGCGGCGTGTATCCTGCACTCACCTATAACCATGGTATACACAATAGTGTACGCAAGCAGCTACTGAACTACTGCACGCCGCATCGTGTCCTGCAGTGGGTTTGGATGCGCTAGCCCAACTCTACAGTTTCAGTTTGATGTCCACGTGATCCGCACACACTCCAGTCACGGCTACGTTCCGCTTTACGCGATCATCATTCGCGAAAATTAAACAAAACATTTTCTACCGATTCAATTCCGCAATACAAATATAATTATACCGTCTTGTATACTTGTCCATTGTCCCGCGGAAGCGTTGCGTTCGTTTAACGCGATTTTCGCATGAGATCAATCGTACGAAAATAAAACTAAGTCGTAAGTAGAAATTTCCGCAATAGACCATATCATCACCATATCACGCGCAACGATCCGGCGCACACTTAAGTAGTTATTATTAAAAGACTTGCACAGCAATGTTACCACCCGATATATATGCTAACGTGAGTTATGTACACTCAGTCTTTTTTCTACCTTCAAGTATTTTCAAAATAGTTTGCACTGATTTATTTGCATTATAATATTGTGTTAACTAAACACGAGTATGAATCATGTATACCGTATGCGGTCTTCAACAACGAAAGACTATCGTTTTTCGTCCAATTCTATACTCGCGCACCATATGAATATACAGTCACATCATGTTTTTCATATATTTTTAATAGAGCTATTGCGAATCCGCTTATAGTTGCTCCATCCATAACTATTAATAATTTATAGAATTTTCTTTTATAATTACTATTATTTAATTTTGTTTTTGGTCTTTCTTTTTCACACATGATATTCGCTTTATAATCTTCACGAACCTCGTTTATCCTGCAGTACATAGGAACGTGGGGTGGAGTACGAGTTCAATAATAATTTTTTCGTGTAAAATAATTCTAATAATAAAGTAAAACTTTCATTCAACGACATTTTCTGTTCAACAAATTACTTTTAGGAATCATAACCTTCATTGTTAGTCTACAAGGGCGAACGCAGGAGGAGGGGGGGTTCCCTCCCTGAAATATCAGGAACAAAAAATAAATTATCTGACTTACAAATGTATTAATAATAAATAAATTAAAAAATTACTATTTGTTTAAAAGTTTCCCGTGGTTTGTAAATTGATGCATACAATACAATTATATGATATTTATGAATATTTTAAATTTTTTTAAACCCTTCCTCCGAAATTTTTTCCCGCATTTGCCCCTGTTAGTCTATGATTAATTGTTAATTTATTGATTTGTTAATTTTTGTTAATTATTAATAATAAATATTAACACTATTTTACGAGTTCCTCTATATTACAATATTTATTTTTTTTGTTCCCATGAGACTTCGTAGTATGAAAATTTCACCGCAATTTCTAAATTCACTTTCGGTAATAAAAAAATGATAGGTACAGTCTGACAAAATTATTAATAAAAACCTATATTTCATTCAGTCCATATACTTGTGTTCGTCTACAGTATTCTCGTGTTAATATGTTAGAAATAACACCGTCCAAACAAATTAACATAAACCAGCGGTAATGGCATGTCATTATATTCATTCTCGTTGTAATCTTGCGTGAAAATAATATTATCGACTGCAGGTACCGTGATAGTTTGCACCAGTTTCGGCTTGACAGGGAATTATTGTTCGATAACTCGAATTTATAAAACGCTTTCGTATCACCTTTTTATAACAATTTTTTTTATTGATCCATTGAAACAAAACTTTGAACAACGATTACGTTCGAACTATAGGTATTATTATACATAATATACATTCGTAGGTATACTTCTTCCGATTATATATACACGTATAATTATTAAGCACAACTTGAAATAGAACAAACAATTAAATATTTATTTATCATCGATCATTTCTTGACCTATAATATATATAATAACATATTATGTTTTACCTATAATATCATTTTGTTCCGTATGCTATTTCAAAATATGCGATTTCAATAACTTATTCAACCTACTTTTATAACAAGACAAACAATTAATGATGTGTGTGAAAACATTTTAAATACACATTCGTTTAGATCTTGTAGAAAATTCTCTATATAATATATGGATATATATCTGAATTATGCATAGATATTATAAATCGCTAAATACACGTTTCGGACATAAACATTTTTCATGAAAGACAAAAAAATTTAATATGAACGAAAAAATAATTGAACTAAAAATTGTAAATTATGAGACGATATAATATAATATTGGATATGATATACGTGTTTTTACGATCACTTAAAGAAATATAATAGGACTAGAAAGTGTACTTATAAGGATTTAAGGTCGTGGACATGAGCCATTTACGCCTGTTCAAATGACTATAGGTACATTATTATATTATACATTTTTTCAAATTGTATTAAACTGCTCGAACAACAAACAATACACGTTGACGTGATTTTTGGTTAAATTTGTATAGTGTTTTTTAACGCACTGATCGTAAGAGAGCTATTTCTACCGATATCCTACAAATTTCTATTGTAAATTTGTCCTTTGAAGGTTATAACCCTTAAAATGTCGGAAAAACCTGCAGTTAACAATGAAACAATAAAAATCGTATCATTCTCTGGTTGTATGCTGCATTATATAAATATAATTATATGAACGATGTATGCGATGGACATATGATCAAGGTCTCTTTTCAGTTGATCACGATGACAACATGACGTACCAATTATACCGTACATGTGCCCCTCGATTCGTATTAGTTGTAAAACGTACCGGACACACGCGATGTAATGTTAAAAACCCCGAAAATCATCATTCGGTCGTTGGCGCATTACGCGGTGTTATTATTGTTATATTTTCTACAATCGTCGCGAGAGAATTTTCATTTGTACGAGTCACGTATATAAAGCGGCCTAGGGCAAATACGTTTTGCCAAATTTTCGCCTTATTATACGATTATAGGGTTTTTTTTTAAAACATTTCAAAAATCATATTGCGTAGTTATTAGAAGTTTTTTTCGTCGTTATCTAAATAATGTAAATAAGGTGCCTACGCAAGCGTTGAACCGTACATCCGTTCGGTGCAAAATAACAGAAACATTTTCAATTCGGTCGCTATTTAACTATATAGTTATGTGTATTTGGATAATGTACCTAACCTACTATATATTACAATGATCATTGAACCAAATGCTGTGTTTTATACGAAAAATTCCCATTTCGCTATTACGGGGCCTCTTTATTTCGAGCATGCAAATACAAATACGCGTAACTCTATTCCATAATATGTATTTGACCATCGTTCTTTGATTTTGAAACCATTTGTATAAAATAATTTACAGCTGCATAAGTATAATTTGATGAACAGAGCTCCGAATTCGAATGGCCACGCTAAATAACTAATGAAATACACCAATACCTATTTCCGCGAAATGAAGTAAATAATATTATTGCACATTGTTTATATGAATACTGCCGTTGTGTAGTTTTACTTCTATGAAGTATTTGCTTTTAAATACTTACGACTTTTGTTGCGATAAGATCGACTTATCGACACATTTTTTTTTCATTATCTCGGTAGAAATTAAGCAGGATATGGGTTCTTCAACATTTTTGCTTATCACCATTATCTATTGCTAGAGAGTAAACTGTCGAAAAAAAACATTTAAGTTACAAAAATATATTGTTATTGTATAATAATATTTTTAAATTGATAAAAGTTACAATTTATAAATTATTAGATAACATTTGATGTTTTCAACATTAGTAGAAAATAATGATATTTAAATTACAGTAAAACTCGCTTAAGACGCTCTTTAAGGGATAAGCTCTCTAGAGCGTTTTAAACGGGAAAGCGTCTTATGCAGGAATAAAAAAAAATGAAGTGATTGAAATATGGAGTTAATTTTGTTATTATTGAACATAATTTAACGGGCAATACACTAATAAATTATGTATATAGATGTAATTACATACATGTGTACATATATTTTTTGCTACTGAATTCAATCTAAAAAAATTTATTATTAAATATTTTATTATTGTTTATTAAAAAATTGATGTATATTTGTTTGTTTACGATGTTGACAGTAAGTTTCAGCAAGAAAGTTTTCTATTTTGTTTAGACAACCCAACACTTCTTCAGAATTTTCTACAGAGGATAATACTTTTCGAATTTCTGTTAGGTGTTGCAAACTAGCAGTAACTGTAGGAGAAAATACTGGATAATAATAATAGTTAATGATAAAATAGGTATAGCAATAAAATAAAACGATACAACAATAAAAACACGTAAATAAGTAAAATTTCTATTTTTATTTCCACAAACCTACTAAAATTTATCATCAGCTAAACAAAAGAGCGTTTTATCCATTGATATAGAGAAAAACCTAGCGTCTTAACAGGTGGTTTTTACATTGAATAGTGTAGGAAATGTCTAGGGACCGACGGAAAATAGCGTCTTATGGGGGAAAGCATCCTAAGCGAGTTTTATTAAATAAAATATTTCTCGTTTGCCTTTAGTTTTATAACAACTATTGCATATTTTATGATTTTCAAGGATAAAAAAATAATAAAATTATTGATGATCTTCATGTTTTCTAGTAATGAATTTCTAGCCCTGATAGAATTAGAATATTGAAATTTTTTGCAACCTTGTTTGACTATCGTTTGACATATTTTAGCGACTTTATAATTTGAAAAAAATTATTATACTTAATCTCAGATTTACGATCAGAATAATATACATGAATCATTCTACACAAATACAACTCCGGAAATCGGAAATAGAATCATTCTGTATGATCGACAATATTTATGATAGTTAATAATATATTATGTAATAAACGAACTGTTTATTTAGTTTTATATTATAATTTATTTTTGTACCTAGTTTTTTTTTACATGAGCGTAAGTTTATATAAACTAGCAAAATAGTTTAGTGACCGCATTTATCCATCTGTTCTTTCGCAATAACGCGTGTGGTGATATTTCACCATGTTTGAGTGCAGGGCTCCATTAACGTATGCACGCTGGCCTCTTTATTGAAAATTTGGCAAAATTTTGAATAAATAAGTAAGATATATTCATATATTCTACATATTATGTGTCATTTAATTTAAATAATTTCTTTTTGTTGTTAAATAATTACGAAATCGGTGAGGGTTAAAAGTTTTATGGCCTATTTTCGGCTCTGCTTGAGTGTAATACTCAGTATATTTTTTCACTTTATATAAGTAACGGAAGACATATAAATAATAAAATTAAAATTGAAAAACATATTCTAATGATTCACCATTCTTATAAAACGTTGATGTTTTACGAAATAAAAAATAAATAAATAAAAGATGAATTAACTATATTAAAGGTTTCTTGGTATTGTTATTAAAATATTAGAATTCCCAAAACAGCCATGTCTCACTATTAAAGAAAGGAATTTTGTCAGCTATCCTCTGTGTTTCCTTTGTCTTCTAATTAGGTGTAACCAATTATTTATGGGGATTGAGGACTAGACCTCTTGGCTATTCCCCATACACGTGTATATATTATGGTAAATAAAGTGAACAATTTGTTAGTCTGCTCGTTACAGTGAACTGTAACCAAAATATATTTATTTCACTTGTCATATACATAGATAATATATTAATTCAAATTTTTTATACATACTATATGAACCTACATTTATACTATTAATAGTCGAATTTAGTGTGTTACAAAAGTATAACTGGAAATTATGTTTTCCATTTGCTTGCCAATGGCAATACATATATATGTCGTAGGCCATATGGAAAATTAGTTTTTTTGCAAAAAGACTAGGCTCTTTGCAATGGGGTAGCCCGTTTGCGAACTACTTATTATTTTTCCAAACAGTCTGCTGTTTTTCAGACTCATTGCATACAGACTAACAGCTGTTAGGCCTTTTAAGAATTACTTACTATTTTTCAAATAGCCTGCTGTTTTTTAGGCTCATTGCATACAGACTAATTTCAGTTAGGCCTTTTAAGAACTACAATCATTTTATGGTAAAAACCATTTTAATTATTTTATTTTAAGGGTTATTGATAATAACACAGTACAAATATGTAACATAAATGTATAACATGTAACATTATTATTTATTAATAATATAAAGGTATTTATTTATTGTTACATGTGGTTTTTTCGTGGCATCTTGAGCTACACAGTACATTGTTTTTCCGACAAGCGCATCTATTTGTTTTGCACGATGTTTTGCAAAAACATTTTTGATAACCCTGCCCTCCAAATTGAGAACGTTTCTTCGTTATTTCTTAAAATTATTTTAAAGTTATTTAAAACAATGTACTGTGTAGCTCAAGATGCCACGAAAAAACCACATGTAACAATAAATAAATACCTTTATATTATATAATTTATATTATTAATAAATAATAATGTTACATGTTATACATTTATGTTACATATTTGTACTGTGTTATTATCAATAACCCTTAAAATAAAATAATTAAAATGGTTTTTACCATAAAATGATTGTAGTTCTTAAAAGGCCTAACTGAAATTAGTCTGTATGCAATGAGCCTAAAAAACAGCAGTCTATTTGGATAAATAATAAGTAGTTCGCAAACGGGCTACCCCATTGCAAAGAGCCTTGTCTTTTTGCAAAAAACTAATTTTCCATATGGCCTACGACATATACATTTGTACAGGCCCATGCACAGGAAACGTCCAAATGAGGAGATCAGAACTATATATGTTATGTTAAGTAAAAAGTAAATAAAAAAAATACACATTAGAGTATCTATGATTAAAAATATCAGGATCGAAAATCAATAAATGTCAACAAATGTCTGAACAGCTTGAACAGCTGACTTGTCAATTAAAATGCGTTTTATCAATGGCTGCATTTACAACGATAATCGACAGTAGATGGAAAATTCCGGAAAATTAAATAGAATAGAAAAATAATAGAAAAATACGTCAAATCGAGAAAATTGGCACTGTTAAAACAAAAATAAACAACTATGTATGAATTTTCAAGTCTGTTTAATTTTTATAGAATGAGGACTAGGTATATTCCTAGTAAAAATTATGTAAAAAGATCCTCAATGGGGGAGTTAAACCCTCCAAACCTTCCATTGTGCCTACATTTTTATGTATCTGTGTTCAACCATATTATGCCCTGTCACAGGGAACAGTAAATAATAACTTTAATTGATTAATATCGGTATTTATATCAATCGTAAACCAAAATTATATCAATTTATCTGACATCAAAAATCACTCGTCATATTCATAACTCATATAATGTTTTTGATAAATTATAATGTTGCACATAAAATTTGAGATATTTCTGTTACCTATACAACGTACTATATAATACATATATAAGTATAATTTAAATGATTAACTATAAACCACTAAGATCTAATCGTAGAAGTCCATACATAAGTTATAAAAATACAAGGTCATTGTTTTGGTCTTTTAGTGTTTTAGTATACTTTATTTTACTTATATTACCCATATATTTTTTTTTCAATTTGTAATTTTTTTTTTTTTAGGTTTTATTTTGCCAAGATATCATCATCATGAAGCAATCATACACTGTAATTTTGATGGCCACATTATCCTTAATAACAAGTATGCCTTTGAAAAAACGTTTTTATAACTATATATACGTATATAGTATAACTTTATACATTTTTTCAAGTAATGTAATACTGTTGAGTCAAAAGGTCCTTTAAATAGGTCAAATTGACCATTGCGTGTTGGTATAAATGAAAATCGTGGATTTCGCTGTTAACATAGTACCCTTCCCTTCTGATCACGATGTACACACATTAATATTTTTTTCTTTTTTCTTTTTTTTAATAAATTACTTTTTTGATAACTTAAATGCCAATGACGCATGGTTGTTTATTCCTTGAAGTAATTTTGTCTGGATTTTGTTTTTAAAGTAGATATTACTGCTTCTGAACCAAAATATGTGACATTTCAAATTTTCAAATCAAAAATGAATATAAAAAATTATAAATTCAAATTTTTATCATTATATAATATAATATAATAATGTTATTGAAAAACATATTTTTTTTTTTTTTGTAAACAAGGACTTACAATCGAAATAACTATTCTTCTTTAAATATAAATAAAAAATGTATTTATAAATATTCTGAATTAAGTTTCGCATGATTCTATGTAAGTAATTCTAAAATATATATTTATATTGATTTTGCATAAATTAATGAGTCACCTGAAGTCTTGAACCCTTTTTAACCTACATAACCTTTTTAAAATAAGCTATAGAATGGGTTGGTCTTAACTTTAATTTAAACAATAATTTTACTTGTATAATATTAGGTATGTATTTAAAATGTTGATAGTGTTGTATTTTATAATAAAAAACCCTCTAACAATAATATGCACCATATTAACTATTTTTTTACATACTATCAGTATAAACATTTAAATATATACTTTAATAAAAATAATAAAACATATAACAAGGGCTCATAACTTAAGTAAATTCATAAGTTCTAAAAATATTTGTTATAAGCGCTATAATATGATCCAAAAAATATTCATATGAGCATTTAAATATGTTTAAATATGCACGGGTTTATCAAATATTTGTATTTACTTGTATTTACTTGTTTATTTGTATATAAGTTATCAAGTTTATTTTGATATCAAAGTGTTGATTCCAATAATAGTAACTAAGTGTAATATTCATAATTTTCAATGTTTAAAATTACTAAGATTTCCAACATATACATACAATACACCATAAACAACATAAAAAAAAAAAAATCAATATTCAACACAGTATAATAATATGGGATATAACACTATAAATAAACCAACTAAAATAATTCTAAAAGTTCAACCCGATCGTCGAGAGTAGTAGGTATGAAAAATAAAGGGAATCTCAATTTATTGCTTAATAACAATTAATATATAAAGTGATATAACTAAGGAACGGATTTATATGTAATAAAAATACAGAAATATGTACATATATATGTAAGTATAATTTATAAAATATGTGCTAAAAACATTCAAATATGGGGGGAAAAAATTTTAAAAAAAAATGATTATTATTATTAAATTATCAAAAAGATTTGTTGCATTGAATTATTACAATATCTTGTAAATTATCAAATGTTAAATGTCGCCTATTAGGTATCAAAATATTTTTAAAGCGGCTAAATTATCGTTTCACATCAACCGATGTAATAAAAGCATATTTCCAGTGCATACTATCAGAAGGCGATAATTCTAAATTTTTAAAAGGTTGTCTGCCATTCATTATGTCATTGATTGTTTTAAAATCAATATTGCCTGGAATTTTTTTCTGTAACAGCATGAATTTTCTTTTTTACGACATCATTGGTCCGCTTACGAGTTTTAATCGCTGATTCAACAATTTGCATACTATCATTTGGGGACATATTTTTTATTAATAATTTTGTTAAATTATTTTTAATTAAAATTAAATTATTTTCAATGTTTCATTTTGCATAATATTTTGAGCTTTTCCAATAGCGATAAAAGTTTCTGGAATTAATTTTGAAATAATTTCTTGTATTTTCGTACGAAGAAGACGTATGAATGATGAAATGATAAAAATATGTTTAAAAATATTTAAAAATTAGTGAAATATGTAAAAATATGTAATTATACCAAAATATGTATAAATATGTAAAATAAAAGTATCATAATTTTAATAGGAATGATTTAAATCATAAACATTTCTTATCGAATCTTAAATATCTCGTTTTAATAAAAATATGCATTTGCATATAAATTCGTTCCCTAGATATAACATATTAGTAATAATATTATATAAAATAAACTAGAAAAAAGACGTATACATATTTTAATAATATTTTTTATAACTACATAGTTAATATGGTTATCGTTATTTCACCCATTCGTTATAACTATTTTAAACTATGACGTGGTTTTTATGATTTAAAAATGACACAAAACCAAATGTTTAAATATCTCATTATGATAACATAAAAGTTAATAATCATTGTATGCAATTAAAAAAAGTTTCTGTTTAAATTAGATTTTTTGATATTTTAATTGTTTTTGTACATGTGTATAGTATCATGTAAGTTTTACATTAGTTTTTTACTTTAGCCTATTCCATTGTTAAATAAAAATACTACACAATGAAACTTTGGTCGTAGAAAAGTTAATTTAATAATTTTCAAAAACTTAAGAATTAAATCACTAATTTGTATTATATCACATAGGCGTGGGTAAACGAATATGGTGAACGAATATGCAACTTGTGGGTAGATTTTAAAATGCCACCCTTTACACACACATTGTGCCGTTGTACTCATCATAATAAAATATATATACATGTATATATGTATATATAAACATCAACAACGTAAAAATAATTTAATCGATCTATATTTATAAATAAACCATAACATCGGTAGTTTTAATATAATAAATTAATTAGTAATTTTTTGATATTAATTTATATAAAAAAATTTAGTATAAAGATTCAGCACCATCCAGAACTTTATGCGCTTTCCACTCATATTAATTGAAGAAAACCACCGTGAGGAAATATGAAGTCCTTTTATTTTTCAGTCAATATGACTTGACAGTTGACGAGACTTAAATTACGGTTTATGGGACTCGAAAGAGGAATAAATGGTAGAATAATAATAAAAACTACTCGATAGTGTACAAATAAATCATTATAAGTTTGATATTACAATTAAAATAACATTTAAATATCAAATTTAATAATTTTATAGTTATAAATTATAATACAGCCATTCGGGTAAACAATAAACAAGACTATGTGTTAGTGTATTTATTGCTGTAAGTACTACTGTATTTTATACAATTTATACTTGAAAATAATATATATGAAAATAACAAATTCTGAGCGCTATAATTTCTACCTCTAAAAAATTACTTTGTTCATCTTAACCCGGCACTGGATGTAGGTAAAAGTAGCTAAATTATTTTAATATGCATATCAATGAGCACTACACTTCATATGATTATTTTTTCGAGTCATCACTTCGTTTGAAATAATAATATAATTCATCGTCCCCTATAGCGTGCTCAAAAACACATAATTACATGAACTTTAACTGCAATAAATCAAAGATCATTTGTAACTGTCATATGTTTTATTTCTACGATACATTGAAAGTTCCCCACTTTTTGAACAATTGCATTATTAAAATGAACGAAACAGGTTATTTTGACAAGGGTCGATCAACTTATATTATAAGAGTAGGTACCCAAAAAGTCAGGTGTCAATGTAATATTTTAACACTTATATGATTCTATAGGATTGTATAGATATACATCATAATATATACAATGCTTCATAAAAATGCAATACAATTGGCACGGACATACACCAATTGTATACCTATTTATTGATATTGAATGTAAAACAATATATATATTCTTATGACATAGATAACTTTTACATGTATAATTACGTTGTGTTGATGTGTTGGTGCAGTAGAATAAAATAATGTAATAAGATAAAAGTTAAAACAAACACAATTAAAATAATATGTAGTAAAATAGTAAGTCCAAAAATGTATCTAACGAAGTTTCAATAAAAATAAAAAAATTCAAAAAATCTACATTATGTCTATGGCATTATATTTGTAATAATGATGTTAATCACATAATGTCATGAGACTATTTGGAATTTCTTTAGCTATTCTACAAAACCATGTGGTAATTGATGAATAACCTACCCTCTATAGTTTTTCTCTATAAACAACTTCACTATATTCGTTTAAAATGTACCGCATTATTGTTTGGTTTTAATTATTAACATTCGCATCATTCTTCTTTAAATCCTTGACTATATAGTTCTACATAGATCTTTATATCTGAGATGATTTAAATATAAGCATTATTTTCGTTGCAATGTTAAGCCAGGTAAATTGTCATTGGGTGATAGCACTAAAATTGTTCTTTATTCGTTCCTTTTACTTTTTCCGTCGATCATTTAAGCTTCTTGCTGTAATACAAAATTCTAACATATTATATTATTCCTAATGTAGATGACAAAACTTTAGTTAATTACCAATGAGATTTTTTATATCTTTTTAAATATTGTGTAGGTCACTAATTAGAAAATAGGTTATTTATATTCTTATTTATTAGTTTACTTTTAAAAACTGTAATCATATGTATATCATGCACTAAATGAAACGTTATTATTAACAAAAACGTAATAAATAAAATAATATTGTATTATTTGTTTTTAAAAATAATTATGACTAAAGCATATTAAATGAAATTATTTATAAATATATTAAAAATGTCAAGTTTTAAGATCAGTTAATATGTTGAACTGTTTAACAGACAAAACATAGATCATTCAATAAAATACAGTCTTAAAACATAAAATTATTTATTTTATATACGAAAAACAACTTATAATTTAATTATTTACTTAAGCTGAAGCTGCTCACATGATTTACGCACAAAATTGTGGTAAAGAAGAGTACAATCGTTGTATTTCTTTAGCTGATCCACTAGTGAAAGATCCTCATTTCATTTACCCTGGAAATTTAAAAGATATCGATAACATATGCAGGTATAACAATATAATTTAATTAATTTGAACACGATTACATGTACTATTATCTTGTGTAAATGCTTTGGTATTATCTTCTTTCAAAGGACTTGGACTCTATTTGTCGATTGCACAAAGAGATACACTGAACATTGTTTCGAGGAGAGTAAACGAAAAGTATTTAACAAAGCTGTGGAAAACTCTATTGAATTAGTCCATAAGATGTGTACATCACCTCAATATCAAACAGGTTAGTTGGTTGTAATGCTGAATTCTGAAGATAAAAAAAAATGTAGGCATAATTGATAATTAATAATCATTTATATTATAGAATATTTGAAACACGCATCGTGTTTACGAACTACACTGTTTGATGATTCACGGTGTGGAAAACATTACCGATCTTTAGCAAGTTTTATTTCAAACGAAACTAGCGGACCTAGCATTTGTTGGTGAGTAAACATTCGATTTACAAAATAAAAGCCTATTACATCTCATATCGCTCAGTACAAAACTTGCAAAATTAAGTATTAAAGAATATAATATAATTTTTAATTATATTCACATATAATGTATAAGAAACGTTATATATTTGTTGTACGTAGTGCAACGACGGTATAGTGTAGTAGTACTTACATTTCTTCTTCTCAGTATTTCATAATATATGTAACATCATACATATTCTGAACAGAATAAATCGCAAAATCTTTTAGAATCCTAATTTTTAATTTGGTTGTATACTCACACACACAAACATACACAAATTAATATTACTTAAGTAAAATTATTCCAATAAAATTGAAAATCTATTGAAAACCAGTTGTGAATACAATTTTCCTAATAATTTTATTTACACGTATTACTTTAACTATAAATTTAACCATATTGTTCAAAGCGGTGTTTTACTACCTAAAAATAAATTATTCAAAAAGTAAGAAAAATAAAACCCGTTGCCCAAAACAATATTTTCTCACAGACCTAATCCATAGTCATTTAGAAAATATAGCAATGTCTTCAAATTATTATTTTATAAATAATATTAGATTTTCGTAGCTTGTTTCTTAAACACGATTATCATTTGAATTATAATATTATTCATATGCAGTTCCGAAATCTGAAGTTTATATCTAAGAAAAATTATGAAATAATTTCACTGCAGTGTAATTCTCTTTAGCCTATAGGGTTGTATGTATGTTTATTGATTTATTATTATTTACACACTTATTCGAATTATTAGTTTCATACTGAATATTAAACTAAACTAATTTAATTAAATGTAAGTAAAAAATATTTGGCCACATTACTCGATGTGTTAACCGCTATTATATTATTTGAGAATTATTGTATTTATGCGAATTATTTTAATATTTAAAATTTTGTTATACTTTCTCTATTTTATTTTTAATCATTTTTACATTATATATTTGTGTTTTGTGTTGTCCTTCTCGTGTTTTATCATTATTATGTTAAAATGGTCAGTTCCCTGAAATGCGTTCGTATGAACATTAAATTATTGTTCAAATATTTTGATAATGTATTATTATTTTACCACCTCCGTTTGTAGGTATAAGTACGGTTCAAAATAATATGATACGCTTCGGTTATATTTTATTGATGTATATGTATATGTAATCTGTTTCGTTAACGAAATAAATATGTCGTTCAGCATTAAGTTGTCATGTACTATTGTTGTCAAATCTTAGGCTGAGCCATTTTCTATTCCGTACTTAAATTATACAATAATTTCATTGAAACAATATTTATATACATGTATGTTTTATTGTAGCACTCATCATAGATTCCGAGAATGTGTGCTTGACCAAACACGAAGGACTTGCAACCAAGACGATGATTCGTTTACACAAGAGTTATTGGACAAAGCATTTGGATTTTTCCGCAGCCAATGTATAGATTACGTGTAAGTATATTATATGTACAGCATATTGCGTATACGAAAAATCATTTATTCGCGATATATTCATGGGCTTATTTTAGAGGGGCGAAGGGACAATCGCCCCACTCTGAATTCGTATTTAAAGAATTGATTATATGTGAGAAACACATTTCAAATTTTTTTAATGTGGACTATTTTATAACGAAATTAAATTACGCGTGGCTGTGAATACTGATTTGGGCTTTTTATCGGGTGTATAGTATCACTTAGTGAGAAATCAAATAAAACACAAGCGTAACTTTCAAAACACAGACTGATGTTAAAAAAAACTACACAAAAGTCAATTCTAAATGGATCCGGCATTAGATTAAAAAAAAAAAAACCACTAATATTAAGGATTCACCTGATTTAAATATTATCAAAAATTGTACTTATAAATGTTGAGCCTGAATTAAAAAAAAATTTGAGTCGCCCCCCCTTCCCCCTAGAAGTAAGTCAAAATACACCTCTGGATATGTTTTCCGTACACAATTTACGATGACGCAACACATGAATGATACAGAATTATTAACATTAAATACAATTAATAATACTATCGTTTTCAGGCCTAATCAAGATGAATGTCCTGGATATGAATATTATAACGCAATGACCACTAATAGGTGGCAAGATGACAAGGAAAAAGCAGCGCCAAGTCCTACCCCGTGGTCCTGTAAGATTTATATAAATATTTTAATCTAATTGTACAATTCTTGTACGTCTTGAACATGTTTTTTATACGATTCGTATAATAAATATCGCATGTTTCATTTATGCACGTTAAACGATAAATATTTATATAAATGTCTTATAATATGCGTTCTACATGATTTATAATATTATTATAAAATTTTAAATCAATTAAATGTTTATCACGTTCTCGTGTTAGTTATATAATAAGGCGTTCGTTTTCTCTAAGTTCAATGTTATACATATTGCTTTAAATTATTTTTTTTATAGTTGAATCTATTCGTATAGTCTGATCTTTAATAAAAATAATCAAATAATTCTTATATTTGTACGTAATATATAATACATGTATGCCAATATGTTCATTTATTAGTTTTATCTACTCGAAATTTTTCCATCCGATTTATCATCTAAACATTTTTGTTTACATATAATCACTATTAATTAAAGTTAAAATAACATCGATATATGAATAATATTGACGAGAAATTCTGTTATTTTTGTATAATTCATTTCAGTTCCAATTATACATGTATATATAATGGTAATACTCGGGACTCTGAAATAAAATTTAAAATTCAACACAGTTTTTGATTCACGGTCAATTTTTACAGTTTTAATTGGACAATATTTTTACGAGCATCCATTAAATTTTTACTCGTAACCTCATCCAATAAAGTACATTGTTATAAGTACTATATAAACATCGTGTTTAAGCTAAAAAAATTGATAACCATTTACTCTTCGCGTTGTGTACATATAATTGCATTAAATGAACGTAATTATTAAAATGTAGAGTAAATACTACCTGTTTTCACAAATAATGAACTGGAGAACAATCGAAATCGAGAACTATCTTTAACTCTGTGGTGCGCAATCTGGGGAAATTTTATCAGTGGGTCAGCAATGTAGTTTAACAGTAATAGAAAAAGTTATATACTATATACGTTGATTTACATAACTTTATATTTAGATTTTATAAAATTCTAATTTTGTAATTTTTTTTTGTGTTTTGGATTAATTAAATTACATAATTATATAAGAATAAAATTATTTCATACATTAAGTAAATATACATTATACACTTAGGTACATAATATTATTAAAGAAGCGGGGGTCATCGAAATAAATTAATTTGAGGGCCGTGGATCAAAAAAGAGTACGGAGTCTTTGAAAGTGTTTGGCCTTGTATTTGGGCACACCTCCCTCCCTTGAGCCAGCCCTGATAAGGTGCCATAGAAAGATTCTATATATAACAGAACTGCATATTCTAAATTGTAATATACAAGTTCACAGATGAAGGGGATATTTTGGGCCGGCCTAAAATCTTTTAACACAATCTAGAGCTTTACTGTGAATAAGGAATCACTGCCATCGTGGTGAGCAAGGACTTATATAGCTAGATAACTACAGTTAACCTAAAAACCCAAAATTGGCTTTATTACCACATCTGAAATATTTTAATCGAACATTGTATGAGTACGTAAGATAGCAAGAAAACGAGACTTTGCAAATGTTTAACATGATTACAATAGTATAAATAAAACAAATAATTTTATATGAGGTTTGACTATCACTACTATTTAAATTATAGTATAAAATGTATGTTTATGTTTTTATCATAGTTGCAGAACGTACGTATTGATTTTATTTCGTTTTTCAGCGACGAAACGGCAGGACAATTGGAGACCGGAGCAGAACACCGGTTGGCCCAGCGCCGCAGGGTCATCGACGGTAGGCGGCGAAAGGACCAGCAGGGGGCACACCTTACAGGGTGCATCGTTTAGCACACCGACATGGCAGGTATCGGCGAGCGGCAGCTCCGTGCAGTCTACCAAGAAGCCAGATAACACCAACTACATGAGCAATGTGATCGACGAGCCCAACCAACAGGGACTAGCCCAAACTGGAGCTGGACCCGGGCCCAATATACCGAACACCATAGCCGTGGCGATTCCTGTACTGTTAGCGTTGACAAAAATCATCTTCTGAACCTACATACCGTGGAAATCAACACGATATACTTGTGCGTTCACGATACCATTGAGTACTTCATTTTAGGAACCCTCCGAGATACTTTTACGGTTTTTTTTTTTTTTTAGTTTTAATATGTTCGATTAAATTAAATGGATTTAGCCACCATACAAATGCTGCGGTTTACGAAAATCATATTATATTATAAGTTATACAGTGAAACCTCTGTTCGTGGATACTTATCAATCGCGGACACGTCTAGTTTAGACTTAGAGCTTCTGAACAGTGAACTCCCTATAATATGTAACAAACCCAGCCCCTAAGAATTAAATAATAATTGACATTCTGTGGAAAATAGAAATAAAGATATATATGTATATTGTATATAAATACTATATTTGTATACAATAGAATGCAATTATAATATACATTTTATATTATAATAATGCAATACAATTATAGTTATTCGATTTTACGATTTGTACATAAAAAACGTTACCGTTAACATGTTGTTAAGAATTCAAGATATTTGATTTTGATAGGATTTTGTTAGATAATGATCCATGGCGGTATATTTATTAAAATGTATTTGAGATAAATCTACTATCCGATATAATATGTATATTCTAAGAATTCTCAATCTCATTCACTATTATTTGAACAATTTATAAAAATATATGTACAACAATATTTCCTTTTTTGGACTTATCTGTGAATTTGGTAGTGTACAAACTTTACGGAACCAGTGCACGTTTCATCTTCACAGTTAAGCTATATTGAACTTATGTTAAAAAATGATATAACTGTTAATAGCAATATATACATATAATAATGATAAATTATAGGTAGTTGTTATAAGAACATTTATTTTTTATTTAAGTATGTGGTTATTGTTAGTATAATGTTAAATACAAAAAAATTGTGCTATTCCTTAATTATGTACGACTTAAAATCTCACTCTCTTAATTTCCGCTGTATAGAGTTTTCACTGCAATAAAAATATAAGTTTCGAGGTTCATTTCAGTCGAAAATTTAATACATATGCATATTCGTCATGTTAATTTTATAGCAACTGTACTATCAATCACACTTAAGTATCATAATATATATGGATGTATGTTTGTATTTTATTTGTGCGATGCCTATAGGTATTTGAAGTTGTTTTAGAAAATTATTTTTATCTCCCAAGCTGTATTTTAAAAACAAATAATAATATATTAGTTTAGTACAATAGTAAATGTCAGTAAACAGGATGCCAACCGTTATAAATTCAGAACATGATCATATATTTTTCAAATTGAATTAATTATAATATATATAGGAAATAAGAGTGTAAACCGTACATAGAATAAAACTACAATAATAATAAAATGTAACATTATTTAACAATATAGTATACTATTGCCATTAATATGATAAATCATACTCACCTATCTATACATACCCGTCATGTGAAAGTTGTCATCGTTATATATATAATATTACATTGGCCTGTGATGTTTATGATTACCAATACTACGTTATTGTTACATGTAGATTTGTCCACGATGTTTTACGTCGTCGAATATTTCTTTTATTTTTTAATACAACAGGTTTACATTATTATTTGCACATTATAATACATATATATATATGTTTATATATATATATGTTTATTCGGTAAATATTTAAGTTGAATACCGTAATTATAATGAATAAATGTTGTATTTTAAATATTCCAAACGTTCTTACATACTTATAAAATATTACACACGTATCATATTATATTTTAAGTAATAAGCACTCCTTAAGTAAAATTATTTTTATAATTTTTATTTTTTTTTTCGTTTTTGAAATGGAAAATAAATATATTTGAAAAAAATACTGTGATAGTATGTTTTTATATAGTTTTATTACAACTACCAGTTTTATTAAAAATATTAATCTTGTAGTCTTAAATATGTTATTTTAGAAATTAAGAAAGGTATTTTTTTTTTTAACATTCTTATACAGAGTTATATCTAGAGACGGATTTCCCAATTGACAGAATAGGCAGCTGCCTAAAATGGCAACATTTAGACTGCGGCAAATTGTATAGTGGTTTATTAAAATACCTCACTCGTAAAAGAAAGAAAAAAGAAAAATCATTATTTTATAATTACAAGAAATTATGTAATGTTTACTTAATTATTAAAACAATGGTGATTCATAAAAATGATCATTGTACGTTTTCACTAAAATTTGGTGGTTATCCATTGACATTTTTCTAAAGTAAAAAAAAAAAAAATTAAGGAATTAAAAGTGAGAAAAAATCGTCTAAAAATTCAAATGGATTAAGGTACTATTATTTTTAATAATTATAGTAACACATTTTTAGTGCCTACAGTCATAATAAAGTTAAATCCTCATCCACTGTCGAACTTACACAGAATCAAGAAATAATCATGAAATTCCTGAGAACATCTACGAAGCTCTTAGTCCCAACGAAGACAAACTCAACAAAATTATTTTGTTTCTTAAAGATATTGATATGTATAATTGTATTTAATAACCTCTCATAATTCATAGGTACCAATTAAAAAAGAAACCAGTACACCTAAATTAAGTACGAATCTTGTAAGCTAATAACCTCAGTAGTTGAAGCTGTACTATGAATAAAAATAAAAAATAAAAAGTAAAATCCACCTATGTATTTTTTGAATATCTTAAGTATTATTATTTTATTTAATAACTATTAAATAATTAATATACTTTATACTACTAGCTATTATGCTGGTATATATAGTATTCATGCAGTATAGTTATTATATTTCATAATATAGCCTATAATCAGTGTTTGGGAGTAACTAAAGTTACAATTTACTGTAACGAAATTAATTTTTAAGTTATTTCATGGTAATTTAATTACATTTTATTGTAAGTAATTCAAATGTAATTTAAGTTACTTTTTTGTAATAATTATTACTAAATTACTCGTTACTTTTTTTTTGTTTAAATATATATTAAGAACAATAAAAGTTTAAAGGTATGTCAGTAATGGAAAAATAAGAAGCCACTGACATCATTCAAAGTGAAATAGAATATTTCAAACCTGTTAATGATAATACTTTAGAATAAAATCAAGTTGAGGAAGTTAATGATAACATTATTTTTGATGAAGATATAAAACAAGAGCATTCTAATGCTGAACTTGAACGTTTTTTATTTACTCCTTTTAATGATGATTTAACTATTTTAAAAAACATGCCAATAATGAGATTAAATTTTTTGAAGTATAATACTGCTTTACCCTTAAGTGCTTCTGTTGAACGTTTGTTTATCATAGCAGGAGATATAAGCACTCAAAAAGCGATCTCAAATTAGTGACTGTAATTTTGAAAACGCATTGTTATTTAAAATAAATTTAAAAAATAAAAATTAATATTTAATGTGTAGCAAAATTAGTATTAATCGTTAATAATTTCATATGGTTGATTGTCATTATTTAGTTTGTGTATTGTCATGTAGACAAAATAGACAAAAATATTAAGCTTCAGTTATATTTAAAAAAAAAAGTAACTTCTATTGTAATTGAGTTACTTTTAAAACTCATAAGTAATGTAACTTGACAAAATGAAAAAAAGTAACTTAAAAAATGTATTTATAATTTAGTTAAGTAATTAGTAATATAATTGAATTACACAAAATAAGTAACTTCCCCAAAACTGCCTATAAACTGTATAGTTATACGAATAGCCGTGATATATCGCATTACATTTATTTATTTAGTATAAGCATCGTAACTGATATTTGAAATAAAGCTTAAAATTTTCAATTCCAATCAACGAGGAAACGATATTGATTTTACAAAGATAAGAGTTCTTTTATTTTAAAAACACATTATGATGGTAGTTCAAACGCTCCAAAAGTTTTACAAAGATGCCTATCGATTGAAAATCCAACACAGATGTTATTTTGAAAGTTTGCAGTTTGGATTTACCAATATTCAGTGGTTATTGAAAAAATTTCAAAAACAATAAATTAAGCATATTTAATAACAAAACTTCAGTAAATAAATAAGTAATAAACTCGTCGTATTCAATAACATTAATGGTATAAATATCTTAAAAATATATATTGGGTGCATCTATATTGATTTCATAGATTATAGTTTAAATACTAAAACATGAAAATAGTAATAAGTTGTCCAACTTAACCCATATCAGTTATTATTAAATTTCCTATTTATATTTACTTTTTTAATTATTTAAAATTCTGTAATTTTATACTTTTTTTATCATTAAAACATCAACTTTATTTAATTTCTATAATAGATACCATTGCACCAAAAGAGAGGGGGTTGTACAAGGGCGTAGTTAGAAATTTCATCGAGGAGGGAACTAATTATCAAAACATGTTAAGTGTTATTTACTAAGTGTATTTTTAAATTTTAACATACTTGTATATCAAATTTTTTATCTCATCATATGATTTGAAATTATCTTTAATAATAATTTAGCAGGTAAATACAAAAAAAAAATGACATATAATAAAAATACTAATTTAAAGTTGTATTGTTAAAAAGAACTATAAAAATGTGTCATTAGGTAGGAAATTTTCATTTGAATACATTAGAATATATTTTTAAAAAATAAAAATTTGAAAAGTTATAAGCAGTATAAATATTGGGTCATACATGGTCATTTATGGTAATCTAAAAATTTGATTAAAATGAATATACTTGATAGCTATGGTTGGGAGGAAGGGTATACAGGATTACTAATAAAAGAGTCCCAATAAAAAGTTTTATTGATCGATTATGATATAACTAAGGTAGTTGAGAAATATTCAGTATGACTGGGAGATGGATTTAAAAATCAAGTTGGTGCTGAGGTCAGAATTAAAGATGAAATTTAAAGAATAAAAGGGACACGAAAATAATAATAATTATTATCTTTTCAATACCCGTGATAATAATTATTATTATCTCGGAATGATTTCGTATCGAAATTATTCACTTAACATATCCTAACACGTATAATGTAAGTATTAATTTTACCGGTATCCATTCATTAAACGTTCTTTGAATTGGAATAAAATTACATAATTCGTTTTACCATAACTACCATGAAACCATATAAGAAGCTGTATAACGTTGAACGTTCAAAAGTGTCCAGCTTGGATTGTATCAATACTTGCGTATTACAGTAACGCTGTCTTTTTTTTTATTTTTATTACATTTACAATAGAAGAATACAGACTGACAGACTGCAGAGTTACTGTGATGGACTACTTGTCCATTACTGTATAGCTCTCCGAACAGAATACTGATATCAAGCAGATTAGAGCAATTGCATAATAAAGACTCTAAGATTGCTCTCATCAACATAATTTTTAATAATTTGAAGTTCATAAATGTTATTTTTA